ATATACCTATATCTGATGATAATACTGGTGATGAAGACCATGGTAATTTTGTTCAGGTGAGTAAAACGGGAGCAGAAGGTTCCGTGTTGGACGAAGCCAAGAACATCAACAAGTCTCTTTCTGCTCTGGGGAACGTCATCGCTGCTCTGAGTGAAGGAACAGTGAGTCTTAACTTGTTCTAATGGAACCTGAAACACTTTGCCTTTAGTAAAAGTAACTTCAGACCTCAGTCATGTAACCTTCATGTCGTGTGCTGATAGAAAACTCATGTCCCGTACCGAGACAGTAAGATGACCCGGATCCTGCAGGACTCTCTGGGAGGAAACTGTCGAACCACCATCATCATCTGCTGCTCTCCTTCTGTTTACAACGAGGCTGAAACCAAGTCCACCCTCATGTTCGGACAGAGGTACAGGACCACATCACTCACATGTTCAGATGGAGTGTCATTGTAAAGCTGGTATCAATCAGTTTATTATCAACTATGGGCATTCGTTCTCCCTGCAGGATGAACCCTAATGATGCTGGTCTCTGATCTTTACTCTGCTCTGTATATCTTAAAGACAGATTCAAGTTTACTTTATAGTTTTAAAGCACACTTTTTTCCAGACTTCCATCTTGGTTGTAAACAAGTTGCCATCACTGCAATGACTTTACTTCTTTTTGACGGAAATCTGCAGAATTTGTTACATGTCAAAGATATAATCAGTCAGTTCATGGTCCTCTCCTGAAGTCATCATTGTAACGTACAGCAACAGGATAGTCGTGGTTAGTACCAGTATGCTGAATGGTACTTTTGTGTTCACAAATGTTTTGTTTTGTTTCTAGTATTCTTTCTAATATAGTACACACAGCACAGGAAACGCATTATGTACACTGCAGTGTGGAGGGACATGTAATGGACAAGTTAATATGTGGATGGCTGACAGTTTATTTTGGAAGCATCGTGCATAGCTGTCATTGGGGTGTTTAGCAAAGACTAAAGGATCTCTCAGGTTGGACTGAAGTACAGATTTCAACTTCTTGACCTTTTCTCTTAGTGCTTGATGACTCAATTATTAATCACCCTTCATCTCCATCATCTCTCACAACACCTCTTAACATCCATCCACCACCTGTTATCTGTCAGACAAGTGAAGACACCTTCCTGTGTTGTTTTTGTGTTTGAGAGCTAAAACCATAAAGAACACAGTGTCTGTGAACCTGGAGCTGACAGCTGAAGAGTGGAAGAAGAAGTACGACAAAGAGAAGGAGAAGAACAGGAGTCTGAACATCATGTTACAAAAACAAGAGAACGAGCTGAAACGCTGGAGGAAAGGTAAACAGTAGAAGTGTTGAGTTACAAAGTTCTTCCACCAATGTGAGCTTGCATGAGTTTAATTGGTCAAAGCAGCACTTTGTTCCAACAGTGGTCCCATTGCAATGAATGAGGGGGTCTGAACCTTACACCCTGGTCAAAACTAGAGTCATGAGCCTGGAGATGGGAGGTTTGTTTAGCTCTGATTGGACAGTACTTTTCTGCACTCCTAACTTCTCCAGGTGAGTCTGTACCTGTGGAGGAGCAGCTGAGCAGCAGAAACAAGAAAAGCAGCAGTGAAGCGACAGCAGTGATGGACAGCTTAGCCCCGCCCCCTGTCCCTCTGTCTGATGAACAGAAGACTCAGTACGAGACGCTCATCACCGACCTGTACCACCAGCTGGACGACAAGGTGAGTCCTACCTGTCCTATCATCTAGATTATAAAGGGCGTCTTAAATGTAACATCAGCTGGACCACAAGGTGTGTCTTACCTGTACTACCATCTTGGACCCTTTTGTTCTGTTTAAGTCTGTGATTAAAAATCAGCCTACTCATGTTTTAGGATGATGAGATTAACCATCACAGTCAGACAGCCGAGGAACTCAAACAGCAGCTGATTGATCAGGACGAGGTGAGTCTCATTGAGCGTTTTAACCTCTGCTCTATAAATCTCCATAGTGCTGTATCTATCAATGTAAACATCTACCTCCTCATAATCCAATCATTCAGCTGTTGGTGTCGAGCCGTCAGGACTATGAGCGTGTGCAGGAGGAGCTGTCGCGGCTGCACATGGATAGTGACTCGGCCAAAGAGGAGGTGAAGGAGGTGCTGCAGGCGCTGGAGGAGCTCGCCGTCAACTACGACCATAAGAGCCAAGAAGTGGAGACCAAGAACCGCTGCAACGATCAGCTGAACGAGGAGCTAGCACGCAAAACTGTGAGTCCACATGAAGAAGCAAGGGTTGTAGGGTCTTTTACGGTAGAACGTTAGGGCGACAGGATGTTCAGATGTTAGGGTAGGATAGTAGGGCAGCAGGATGTTAGAATGGTTGATTGGTAGGATGGTAGGATGGGCTAGTGTGGTAGGGTCTTTTACGGTAGGACGATAGGATGTTCAGATGTTAGGGTAGAATGTAGGACAGCAAGATGTTAGAATGGTTGATTGGTAGGACATTAGGATGGGTTAGGGTTGTAGAGTCTTTTACGGTAGGATGTTAGGACACTAGGATGTTCAGATGTTAGGGTAGGATGTTAGGGAGTTATAGTGGTAGGACAGCAAGATGTTAGAATGGTTGATTGGTAGGATGGGTTAGGGTGGTAAGTTATTTTACGGTAGGACGTTAGGATGTTGGGATATTAGGGAGTTACAGTGGTAGGACAGCAAGATGTTAGAATGGTTGATTGGTAGGATGGGTTAGGGTGGTAAGTTCTTTTACGGTAGGACAGTAGGATGTTCAGATGTTAGGGTAGGATAGTAGGACAGCAGGATGTTAGAATAGTTGATTTTTTTAAAGAAAAAATAGGCCTTTTTTTTAAAGTACAGAGGTAGACTGGAACAATGGGCCACTCCTTTGTGCATGAGGCACCATCTCCACCAGTGAGCTATCTGGGCGCCCTGAGCTATCTATGTTTGGTAGAGATCAGCTCTTCTTCTGGTCCTGTGTTTCAGGTGAGTCTGGAGGCGGTTCAGAGGGAGCTGGACACCCTGAACGAGGTCAGTTCTCATCATAAGAAGAGGTCAGCAGACATCCTCAGTCTGCTGCTTAGAGACCTTAGTGACATCGGCAGCGTCCTCGGTACCACCGACCTAAAAGCTGTAAGACGACAACTCTTCCTCTATTGTTTCACATATCATACTCATTTTACATGTCAGCCTGTGTGGCGTTGACTCCTGAATACTAACAGTGTGCAGGACTTCAACATTTTCTTTGTAAAAATATAAATCATCTATATATGCATGTATAGCAATGTTACTTACTTAACACGCTAAAGTTGTCTGTTTTTCACAAGTTTTTACCTGATTTCTAAACGTCCAAGCCTTAACTTAACTTATCTTGTCATTTAATGGATTGGTCTGTAAAACGCTCGTCATCTCTTCCCCCCCGAACCCAAATGGACGCAGTGAGGTTTACTTAGGACATCACGATTACACAGCTTTGAATGAAGTGTGTCACATCAGTATCTCTCTGTCTCTTCAGATGACAGAGACAAGTGGAGTGATGGAGGACGAGTTTACCACAGCTCGTCTCTACATTAGCAAAATGAAGTCTGAGGTCAAATCTCTGGTGAACCGCAGCAAACAGCTGGAGGTCAACCTGACGGAGAACATCTGCAGGATGGAGGCTGATGAGAAGGAGCTCAACACCTGTCAGCTGCTTGTCTCACAGGTAATAGATTACGTTCAAAGTTCCAGCCAGAGTTTGGATCAAAACACTCTGGAACCTTAGAAATTTAGAGGTTCACCTTATTTAATGGATAAATTAATGGATTATAATATATTAAGATTACGATTATTCTGAGTGCATACATTTTATGCTTGTTGCAGCTCCAGGCGAAGATTGTGTCTCTGACAGATGACCTGCAGAGGGTCGAGCAGCAGAAGAGGAAGCTGGAAGAGAGTCAGGACAGTCTGATGGAGGAGGTCGCCAAACTCAACGCTCAAGGTCAGAAGTCTCCATCATGACAGGAAACACTCCTCTCTTATTGTCTGTTAACATCAAACACAGTTCAACAGATGAGACACTATTACAAATCAACACCGAGTTCAAATCTGTAAAAACAGCTTCCTATCTGTGTGTGTGTCTGTGTGTGTGTGTGTGTGTGCGTGTGCGTGTGTCCAGATCAAATGCATGAGGTGACGGTGATGGACAAAGAGAAAGAACACATGAGCAGACTGAAGGATGCCGTTGAGATGAAGGTAGAAATCATCAATGGGTTTCTGATCAAAGCAAAAGTACTACAAACGTCTACTAATTTACAATAATGATACAAATGTTACATCACAGGGAACATTTGTATCATTCAGGACCTTCATATTCTGAGGGAAATTAAGTGAGTTATAGAACTGAAGTGTTCCTTTATGTAAATGAGGTGAGTTAAAGAATTGGAGTGTTCCTGCTTTATGTAAATGAGGAGAGTTAGAGAACTGAAGTGTTCCTTCTTTATGTAAATGAGGGGAGTTAGAGAACTGAAGTGTTCCTTCTTTATGTAAATTAAGTGAGTTAAAGAACTGAGACTACATCCATACTACTACGTTTCTATTTGGAAGCAGATTTGTCAAATAGAAACGATCTCTGTCCACATGGGCGTTTCAGCATCATTTTCGAATTGATCTGCATCCACACGGCAACCTTCGAAGACGGACAGTACGTGACCATTAACGTACACTGGGCATGCGCGTGACGGTGTAAACAGGAAGTGGATTGGTTGCTTAGTTTAAAAAAATACGACAGAGTAATAAAGTAGTCTTTAATAATGAAAGGCTGTATTTGATACTTAAGATCTTCCTCTAAAATAGCCCTCTATAAACTCAAACAGACAGTTCGTGGAAAGTTTCAGAAGTTTTATTTTTCAGACTTAGTTACAACGCTGCGGGTCTATCTCTCTCTCTCTCTCTCACATCAAATTTACTTTAAAATCAACACTTACACGTAAACGTTTACTAGATTATGGTCCATCAATGTGGTTAACACACGTCTCTCACTCTATTCTGCTCCTGCTTCGTGCAGGAAAGCTTAGCAGATCGCTAACAGTAGATCCGTGAAATAAAGACCATGGAATCCGTAGAAGAGTTTCAAGACTTTAGTGTGAATCTTTCTTATTTGTAAAACTGTGGAAACACAATATGAAATATGGCTTTACAAACTGTCCATATACACACATGAATACAAAACAACAATCCATGATATTCATGTAACATGTCTGACTAGCTAGCTTCTAAGCTAATTTTAACATTACCGCCAATGGAGAAATGCTAACCGCGATTAGCATTTAATACAACACAAATGTTATACTAAAAGAGCAAATAGAATATATCTACGTACATCTTTTCATGCTTCATAAAGACATACTTACAGACTAAGGTCTCTCAAGGCTACCAAACGGAAGAAGTAAAACGTTAGTGCAGCTTGTCTTCTCATTAGAATATACGCGCGTCGTGAACACTTCCCGGACCCAGGAAGACGGTGATGGCCCTACAGACTTGTCGGATGATGACTGAAACAACTTGTCGAGATAGTCCAAATGCATTAGCGGTTTTCCGGAGTCTGCCCTCGTCACTCAGGTAATACAACTTGCACGCTACCTTTGTAAGTACATCCACGGGCGCCCTCGTCGTGGTTGTTGCTCCCTCCACATGCGGACGTAACATTTCGCTAAGGTTGATCAATGCCGATCTGGACATTCGAAAGTTTTCTCGCCATTCTTCGGGAATCATAACTTCATTGATGAAATTATTCCACCAGGCACTCGTTCTTCCTGGCCTCACCCAAAACCGGCGCTCCATGTACGGCTGATAACGACTCGGGAATTGTCGCTCATCGCTCGAAGAATAGCTCGCCTCCTCCGCCTGTAGGCAGTAGCAGCATTGTAAAATGACGAATTTAACTCCACAATTGCTGCTAGTACAGACAACAAGGCTTGCCATTCGTTATCCATGTTGAAATGAATCACTGGTAGCCGAGTTTGTTTTCTTCCGGGTACGGGTCACGTGATAGTGAGTGTGACGAATCAGGGACGGAGACGTCATGGTTGCTAAGAACCAATCCAGTAGCGAACACGGGTGTGGGCGTAATTTTTTCTAAACACATCAGTTTCCGACCGTCCAAACTCAAACGCAACCCCGGAGTTTTCAAACTCAAACGCAACCCCGGAGTTTTCAAACACCTCCAATCTCGGTAGTGTTTTCAGACTCCTCCGTTTAGGGTGCTGCAAAACTCCGGTGTAGTGTGGCCGCTCAGTGTAAACGTGGCAAAAACGGAGTAATGTGGACATGGCCTGAAGTGTTCCTTTATGTAAATGAAGTGAGTTAGAGAACTGGAGTGTTCCTGCTTTATGTAAATGAAGTGAGTTAGAGAACTGAAGTGTTCCTTCTTTCTGTAAATTAAGTGAGTTAGAGAACTGAAGTGTTTATTCTTTATGTAAATGAAGTGAGTTAAAGAACTGAAGTGTTCCTTTATGTAAATGAAGTGAGT